ATCCTTGGGGGTCCCTTCCAGCTCAGGATATTCCAGGATTAGTTCCCAGCGAACCCTCTGATGTCCGTCCTAACCCTCAGGGGTTAATGGAGTGGGAAGAGGGGTCAGGAAGATGTGCCTGGAAGTCATTAAACCTCTCTGAGGTTTGGTGGAGGACTCTGGCATGAAAACCAGACKGTGCTGAGCTCTGGGGAGCTGTGAATTCCTAGTGTCTGGCACAGGCTGGAGCCTCCTGGGCTTTGCTCCTCAGCCTCTGTGCAGATGTTCAGGGAGGGATTTTTGCTGCTTGTCCTTGACCGATAGGGAAGTAACTTAATTCTTTCCTGCCCCCACCTCTTTCTAATAAAAACCCAGGAAGAATAACTTGGAATAGCTGGAATAACTGTGCTTATCTCCCAGGCTCTGGGGCTAAAAAGGGCCTTTGAGCTAATCTGGTGCTGCTAAGAATAGCTCTGTGTTCTCTTTTGGTGCAGGTGCCAAGCAGAGAAATTGATAAAGCAGAGGGAAAGTTTTGGACTCACTGGAACAGAGAAACCAAACAGGTAACTGAGATTTTGTAATGTGTGTCATGAGGGGTTGAGGAGAGCAGAGCAACTTGAGACAACAACATCAGTTCTGTCCTGCTGCCTCTGATGATCAAATCTCTGTTCCCTTGATGTACCTGTGCAGTGAGAGCTCCTGACAGAGATCCTCCTGGGTGGGGTCTTTGTGAGGATTAAATCTGTCACAGCAGCAGAATGGGGCATGTAAWTATCCAGAGCAAAGGGGGCTCACGGGGGACCTTCTTGCTCTTATAACTCCCTGACACGAGGGTGCAGCCAGATGGGTGAGGCTCTGCTCCCAGGGAACAGGAGAAAGGACCATAGAAAAAGGCCTCAGGCTGTGTCAGGGGAGGTTTAGGTTGGATATTGGGGAAAATTTCTTCATGGAAGGGGTTGTCAGGTATTGGAACAGGGTGTTCAGAACAGTGGTGGAGTCACCACCCCTGGAAGTGTTCAAATAAGGTGTGGCATTTGGGGCCATGGGTCAGTGGTGACCATGGTGGTGCTGCTGCTGGTGGGACTGGATGATCTCAGAGGGCTTTTCCCACTGTAACAATCCCATGATAAATGTGCAGCTCTGTGCCCTCTCTGTGCCTCATGCTCCCTGCACATGCCTGGCTGTGAGAGCCCGGGGCTGGGGGTGTCCCCTGTGTCCTGTGGGAGCAGGGACAGTGCCTGGGGCACAGAGACCTCAGAGTCCAGAGGAGGTGAACTTTTGGGCCAGACTGGCACCGGTCAGGGATGCTGCCGGGGCAGAGACGTCTGAGTGTAACAGGAGCTGTGCTCTGGGGCCGAGAGCAGCCCTTGTGTGCTGGCAGAGSTGTCAGCAGGGTGCTGTGTCAGGGCTTGGCATGGATCTCAGGGAAAGGTTCTTCTGTCCCCAGAGGGTGCTGGCACTGCCCAGGCTCCCCAGGGAATGGTCCCGGCCC